AAAAAAAAAAAAAAAAAAAAAAAAAAAAAAAAAAAAAAAAAAAAAAAAAAAAAAAAAAAAAAAAAAAAAAAAAAAAAAAAAAAAAAAAAAAGATGGTTAGCCCACTCAAAACTGGAGGTCAAGCTCCAGATCAGGCCAGTGTTTCCCATTCTAACCCCGCTGATAGGCTCGGAATATTACTCGGACTTCCTTCCTGGAACTCCTAGGTTAGATTTTAGACGAGATGTAAATTAGGTTGTTCTTGGACAGCAGCCTGCACCAATCAGCAACGTGGTGATCATTCAATCGGCTATGCGATTATAGCTCATTAAGACCAAGATGTTCTCCATTCTTCTTCAGAAAGCCGTTGTGGTTGTTTAGTAAGACTTAAAGAAGATGGTAGGTTGCTTCGTCCCAACCTAAGTTCAATACTGCCATGACTGTCCGCTCCCGTCAGAGGAAGAAACAGGCACGTGCTTCTGTATGTTTAGTCGGTGCACAACGTCCAAGTCGACAACAACAATGCAGACATCCCTCTCGAAATTGAGGAGTGCAGTCGCTTTGATTCATTAACAATATTTTGGCGATGGGGCTGTCATCTATAGATACAGTATTCGCTAAACTAGCATACCTCGGTGGACCTGCCCTGTCTCGTTTAAGTCCAAAGTCATGAGTGACTCCCTCGCCTCCAGAGAGTTCATCGTACCTGGCACTTTGTCCTGCAGAAGATAAATGATAGGCTGATGCCTTTTCATTGACTTTTGCTGCTAGTAGGGATGAGGGCGACCGAGATAATCCCTATGACAATGCCCTTGCAGCAGATTGCCTGAGTGGACCTACAGGTGCTGAAGGACTGGCTGCTCTCGGAGGTATCTTGATCCATGTAGGAAGAGTAACGATGGCATCTTCGTCATCTCAGAGGATCCACGGCTTTCAACGACTATATCACTCTCCCGGGGAATTTCCCAGCCGGCATCCACCATTATATGGCTCGAGGAGGGCGTTGTCAACCCAGTTCCACCCCCACGAGGTTAACCCCTTCCCAGGACCGACTCGTTTCTGATCAACCACTTATACCCCGTTCATTCGAGCTCTGAACTTTGGTCGTTTTGCTGGCGACATGCCAATCAACTCATTGATACTCCACAGTCTATCTGCAAATTGCATCAAGCTCCTTATTCTCGGCCGCACTGCCTCGGTACTTACAAAGTCTTCTGCATCTTTACTTAAACTGTTTAGCGCGTCCAGATTACGCCAGGAAAGAAGGTTGCAAGCAGGAATGGCCGTGGCTGGGGAGTAGACCTAAGACACTAGATATACAACCTTTTCAGTGTCCACCGGCCGGCCGACGGTTCGCCAATGGGAAAGACTCCCGCTACTGGGAGCAGCCGAGGGAAACGCACCGGAAGGGAAAAGCCTCCACTGCGGAGCTAACAGGGCTGCTAAAGACCCTCTGGTCCCAAATGTGCTTTTTCAACATTTTTCCCGACCATATCAAAGCACATTCTCCTTGCCACATTAGCATCCAGTCAGGCTTGGGCTCATAGGGGTAGCCGTATGCTCAAATAGTTCCTCTTACCTCCTCTGACCTCTGCGCACTCTCTGGTTTGGGATCCTTGGGCTCATTGGGCTCAAATTTCTTCGTGTGTTTTCCAATAGCCGGCAACCCCTCGCTCATTCTGCATTGCAAATAGAGGGGTGATATCACGCACAGGCGGTTAGGCCCTTTTTAGCCGAACGGTTTGCGGTAGCTCGATACCCCTTCTATCATCGGGAGGGCGATAAAAATGAGGTCGTCTGCCGATTTAGACATAGAAAAGATGGAAGAAAACCGTGCCAGCAAGAACATCCCAAGCTTGCCTAATTCTCATGGTACAGATTCTCCCCAGGCTGGAGAAAAGGTCCTGGATGGTACAACCATCAGTCGTGAGTATCGTGAATATCATGATGCAAGTCCAGCCATCAACGTGACAGAGGAACAGTCTCATACCGGGGTCCAACACGATAGCAACCTACCGCAGGCAGAGACTATGCTTGAAGATGGCCTTCAGAGACCCTCGTCTGGAGCGTCTGACTCAGAGAGCTTCGCACACAGCGCCCCAATGTCTCGAGTCACAACGGATGCAGATGGAAACACATATCCTGAAGGCGGACTAGAGGCCTGGCTGGTTGTCTTTGGTAGTTTCATGGGCCTCTTTGGCTCCCTCGGCTTAGTGAACACCATTGGAACTTTCCAGGCCTACATTGAGGATCACCAGCTCAAAGACTACAGCTCCGGAACTACAGGCTGGATTTTTGGCATGTACGCGTTCTTGACCTTTTTCTGCGGTGTACAGATAGGTCCAGTCTTCGACGCCAAAGGTCCACGATTCTTGGTGTTTTCGGGTGCTGTGCTGGTCATCGTCATGATGGTAGCTTTGGGTTTCTGCACTCAATATTGGCACTTCATGCTGGTCATCGGTATCGCTGGAGGAGTCGGAGCCTCGTTAATCTTCACCCCCGCAATAGCCGCGATTGGCCACTTCTTCAATGAGAAACGTGGCGTTGCAACTGGCATTGCTGCCACAGGTGGCTCCGTAGGAGGTGTTGTCTTCCCGCTTACCTTGGAGGCATTGTTCCCCAAGATAGGTTTTGCATGGGCAACCCGGGTAGTTGCGCTTCTTTGCCTCATCTCAGTGGCCGTTGCATGTTTGTTGATCAAGTCCCGGTTGCCTAAAAAGCCCGCTGTAAAGGAGAACATGATGCCTGATTTTCGTATCTTCCGGGAACCAAAATTCGCTCTTACCACTGCTGGCGTCTTTTTCATCGAATGGGGGCTTTTCATTCCGATCAGTTACATCTCTTCTTACGCCTTGGCTCATGGCGTTTCCTCCCAGTTCTCGTACCAGATCCTGGCGATCCTCAATGCGGGTTCCTTCTTCGGTAGAGGAATCCCTGGGTTTGTGGCGGATTATCTGGGACGGTTCAATACGCTCATCGTCACGGTTGCTTTATGCCTCATCTGCAACGCATGTCTGTGGCTTCCGGCCGGCAACAGTGTACCTGTCATGGTTGTGTACTGCGTTATTTTTGGTTTTGCAAGCGGCAGCAACATCAGTCTGACTCCTGTTTGCATTTCGCAGCTGTGCAAGATCGAGAATTACGGCAGGTACTATGCTACTGCGTACACGATTGTGAGTTTCGGGTAGGTTGCCATGTAGCTGTCAGGGTTCTACAAGTATGAGCTAACCATTTTCTACAGCACGCTGACGGGCATTCCAATTGCGGGAGAGATACTGTCTCGATGCAATGGCGAGTATTGGGGCTTGATTACTTTCACGACTTGCTGCTACGCTCTCGGCCTCGTCTGCGTCACGTTGGTCAAGGTGATTCACGTTGGCTGGCGCCACCCGCTAGCGATATACTGAGGGAATAGCATCCGATTCGGGCATCCATGACTATTTATGCGACAAAATGAGCAATTTACCTGCCGCTACTGATGAAAGAAACAACAAAACTTACCCACTATTGTCTAATAGACTCACGAATCTAACGACCCCCATGACATGTCAAGACATGGAATCTAGAGCGGTCTGAACATGGTACCGTCAAAACTCTTAGCTTAAGCCTGACCTGTGGCTATCTGCCGCACATCAATGTCTAATCCTTACAAAATCTCTCAATTGACCCATTAAATTGAGTAACGTATGACCATCAAGCCCAGAAAATAAGCCGACTAGAACCTCCTATACACGGGAAGTTCAACCACCAAGACCAATTGTGAGGTGACCATAGACCCTAAATCTCTGGTGTGCAGCGTCACCATGATAGCCACAACATCGTCTAGACCCCCATGACATCTATCAAGCATCATGCCGTTACCTTTCACATGACTATATAAACCCTCTTCTCTCCTTCGCTGCAACAATTCAACCCAGACCAATCGTGCATCCTCTTCCTCAAATACCCTTCTCTATCTCTCCTCTCTCTTTTCTATACTTAAACCAACCCATAAACCATCCTAGAAAGAGAAGCAAAACAAAACATCCAATCCATCATGTACCTCCGCACCTCCATCCTAGCCCTGGCCCTCGCCTCCGCCGCCCTCTCCGCCCCCATCGACCCCGTCGACAACGCCAACGCCCCAGCCAGTGTGCCCGCTCCCACCGCAGCCCCCGGCCAGCCCGGGGACATCAGCGCCGCCAGCATCCCCGGCATCACTGCCACCGTGACCATCACCATCTCGCTTCCCTGCGCCGGTGTCACCGCAACCATCGGCCCCGCCAAGGGCCTAGAGGCTCGCGCCACAGATGCAATCCCTAGTAGCTCCAGTGTCTCTGTCATCAAGTCCAGCAATATCAGAACCCTGCCTACCTGCGTGCCCTCTCCTTCTTCCACTGGTCCTGCGGTGTCTGGCTGTGCTGACGACGACGACGATGACGATGATGACGACGACGACGATGATGATGACAATGGGAATAGCCCCTCATTCATTCGGAAGCCCATTCAAACCACCTCCTCTGTTTCCAGTGCTACCAAGACAACCATGACTTCAGTCCCTACTGCTACTTCGACAACCTCGCAGAAGACTGACGATGCGGACCCGTCTGCTACTGCTACGACTACTACTCCTGCCATCCTGCTTCCAACTCCAACTGAGAGCTCTTCTTCAAAGGGACCTAGTGATGGAACTACTACTACTGACGCTGCATCCAAGACGGCCATTGATCCATCATCCACATTCATCACATTGCCTTCTCCGTCGTCTTCACCTTCAGACAAGTCCACCACCAGCAGCAGTACTACCACCACGACCAAGTCCTCTCAGGATCCAACCATCACTTCTACCTCTATTGCCACATCTACCACCCAATCCAAGCCTGAAGCCACACCCACAACAACAACAAAGAAGCTCAAGATCAAGCGCGGATTCGCTGCAAACGCGACGGGGGTTATTGAGGTTCCGCCTCTGAAGCCTAAGCCTACTGGTGGTCGTTGAGCGGAATACAAACTCATAATATTAAAGGGATGTTGATGTTGTTGGCTTGGGGAAGTTAGGTTTAGGTTTAGGTTTGGGAGTGAAAGTATTTGCTTGTTTAGTTGACCTTGAAGTTTGGAAATTAAGATAAATTCAAAATGTGTTTTGCTGCTTGATTGGACAATATATCTAAATCTTCCATTATATAAAGTAGATAGATAGCTGGCTGGGTAGTCTAGTCTAGTTCCTTTTCTTGATTGGAGGATTTGACTTCTTTCTTTCTTTCTTTCGATAGGTATAGGTAGTAGTAGGAAGGTCGACCTTGGATTATCTCGTGTTAGGTTGATCGGGATTACTCTCTCTCTCTCTCTCTCTCTCTCTCTCTCTCTCTCTCTCTCTCTCTCTCTCTCTCTCTCTCTCTCTCTCTCTCAGTGTGTGTGTGTGTGTGTGTTGTTCTTCTTTTTCTTAATTCTTGTGCTTTGTTTTCTCTATTTCTATTCATTCATTCTCCCCTTCTCTTTCGGCCTAAGTATGTTGTGCGGGAAGGGAATACGTAGGTGCTTGCTTGAGATAGATGAAGATTGATTCAGATTGCGCCTGATTCTACCTACTTGGCTACCTATTTACTTTTGCTCTAACAAATACCATGAGAATATATGACTTCCTTAGACCAATATCCTTACCATAACGGGAGATGTGTTCCAACAATAGTGCCAGTCATACGTCGACAGTCTTGCGTACAGTCGAATATCCGAATGTGTGTAAAAATGAAAGCAGTAAGAAGAAGAAAAGGAAAAGTTATGGCTGATTCAGGTCTTCCTGATCCCCGACCAAGGGGCTCATCTGCTAGTGTGAAAAGATTAAATACAATACAAATAGGAAGGAGAAGATGACTCGGGTCGCAACAAGCATGCGTTAGAAGAGGGGGAACGAGTTTAGATGAGAAGAAGAGAAAAGAATAGCTGCCGGGCAAAATAACTGGAACATATGCAAGAGTATTTCCGCAAGCAAAAGTAGAAGGATGCTGGCTCCCTTGACCATTGCTTGACTCGCCCGTATTTGTCTTCATTCCATGCCGCAGGTTTATATGGAGAAACCCCGCCTGTGGTTCCTTGCGCCAAACACCTTACACCAGAGGTTTACTGGCATAAACAGTAACAACCGAAATCAAAACACACTATAGTATAGGCAGATGAGAAAGGGAAGAAGAGAAAGAGGAAAATAGAAAATGCCATGGCTCGGCTGTCGACAATGTTACCAGCGACAAACGTATGCAAAAGCAGGAAAATCGACCGAGAAGCTGGGAAAACGAAGCGAAAGCGGAAGGCGTATGCGGTGGGACATAAGATGTGTGTTTCCCTGACAGGGAAACAGAGAGAGAGAGAGAGAGAGATAAAACGAGATGGGGTACCAAGAAGAGGTCGCCAGGCCAAAGAACATTTCTTACAGGCGCATAAAGAGATAGGGTATAAGGTTTGCATCGAAGCCATTCGGAAAGATGAAAGGAAAACAAGCGAAAGGATATCTTGAGAGCGTCTCACGAGCTGTTGGACCGCAGCAGTGCCTGGCAGAACCCGTTAGTATGACAAAGATTCTTTCCGCAATTGTGCAGGTGTAAAACTCACCCTTTCGACGGCAAGCTCATCCGCTCGGTCAACGTTTGGGCTTGCAAGGCCACCACCACGGTTAATAGTGCTGGTTGCGGTGACGGATCGAGGTTCCAACCCCGGACGCTGTTGACTCTTGCCATCAGGCCCACTGTGATGGACCGGGTGCATTTCACCACTACTTGAGATTCGCGACTCCTTGCTCTTCTCCAAAAGAGAACCACCTAATGTAGCACATTTGAGAATGGTCTGCATCATCTGGTTCTGCTTCAGGGGTTTCGACAAGTACTCATCCATCTGGGCTTGAATACACTTCTCTCGATCGCCCAGCATGGCGTGTGCAGTTAGCGCGATGATCGGTGTCCGGCTGAGACCACTTTCCCTCTCATACTCGCGGATCTTGCCTGTGGCTTCGAAACCACCCATGACTGGCATCTGAACATCCATCAGAATGACATCGTAGCGCCGTTGCTTGACGGCTTCTACGGCTTCGAGACCGTTACTGACGACGGAAACGTTGTGGTTGTGTTTCTCAAGTATCTTCACAGCCAACTTCTGATTGACGTCGTTATCCTCCGCCAGAAGGATGTCGAACGACCGGGAGTGGTCCGTGGTGATGGGTGTAGACCGTCCCTCAAGAGCAGGCAGCATACCATTACCGAGATCAATTGGCTGGCATGGCGTGGTCATATAGGAGCTGATACCGAGGTCAAGGGCAGACTTCAAGCTGACGCAGACCAGCGGGCACACCAAGACAATAGGAACGTACTTGAAGTCATCGAACGTCCGCAGCAGCCGAGCAGTGGCCACCGAGTCCACGATTATCACATCATAGGCATGGCCGGACTCCTTGCCCGACGGGTCCTGAATCTCAGGCGGCGGGACATGATCCTCGTTCCGCACCACTAACGGTTCCAGGTCGATTTGCTTGAGCATCTTCATCACATTCTCGGCCTGGCCACCATTCTCGCCCTTGTCGATGAAGAGGACACGGTGGTTCTTGTACGGCAACAGCTGCGAGGCGATGACGCTCAAAGACTGGTCCGCCAGTTTAACAACGCAAGTGAAGTGGAAGGTACTGCCATGGCCGTATTCCGAAGTGACCCAGACATCACCACCCATCAGGTTCACGAGGCGCTTGGAAATGGACAGACCAAGACCAGTTCCACCAAACCTCCGCGTAGTCGATCCGTCCGCCTGCTGGAAGGTGTCGAAGATGAGATCTAGCTTGTCTTCCTCAATACCAATACCTGTATCGGAGACGGAGAATTCAAACGCATATTCGTCTGCTGCGCACTGCTCTCGGTCGGATTTGCAGATAGTAAGTTTGACTTCGCCATGCTCGGTGAACTTGATGGCATTGCCGACAAGGTTAAGGATAATCTGCCGCAGACGGAAGGGATCACCGATGACATAGTCAGGAACGGTGTTGTCCACCTGGTACGTCAAACTCAGGAACTTCTCGTTGGCCTTGACGGCTAACGTCTTCAGGGCGTTGAAGACGGTTCCCCTCACGGTGAACGGGATGCTCTCAATCACCATACGGTTCGCTTCGATCTTGGAGATATCGAGTATGTCATCAATGATGGTGAGCAAGCTGTTGGCCAGGTTGTGCACGACATTCAACATCTCTCGGGTATAGGGCTTGAGATCATCCGTGTCCAAGGTCAACTGCGTCATACCAATGATACCGTTCATGGGCGTCCGGATCTCGTGACTCATGTTTGCGAGGAACTCGGATTTGGTGCGGTTCGCCAATTCTGCAGCTTCCCTGGCGGCCGTGTTACGTTGGATACTGTCTCGGAGGTTGGAAACCATCTTGTTGATCTTCCGCTTCAACTCATCCATTTCGCCGGATGCGTTGACCGTGATGAGCTTGGTGAAATCACCGTCCGTGGCGGCATCCGTAATCTCACCGAATGCGCGCACCTGAGACGTCAGGTTCTCGGCCATCGTATTCACGTCCTCCGTGATTTCCTTCCATGTTCCAGCGATCCCTTCGACGTTAGCCTGACCACCCATCTTGCCATCCACCCCGACATCGCGCGCCACCTTCTTCAGTTCAGTCGCGAATTTGGCCAGTCGGTCAACCATGTGGTTGATGGTGACCTTCAGGGTGAGTATCTCTCCTTGTGCATGGACCTCGATCTTCTTGCTAAGGTCACCCTTTGCAATTGCTTGCGTAACGTCTGATATACTCCGCACCTGGGACGTCAGATTCTGGGCCATGGTGTTCACATTGTCGGTTAGATCCTTCCATTTTCCTTCCACATTATCAACCTTGGCTTGACCACCCAGTGTACCATCCGTGCCGACTTCACGCGCGACCTTGCTGACTTCAAAGGCAAAGGTATTTAGCCGGTCCACCATGCCGTTGATCGTGCTCTTCAAGTCCAGTATTTCACCTTGAACATTAGCCGTCACCTTCTTTGTCAAATCACCCTTGGCGACGGCGGTGGTCACGTCGGCGATCTCCCTGACCTGGGTGGTCAAATTGTTGGCCATGCGGTTGACGTTTTCGGTCAGATCCTTCCATGTGCCCTCCACATCGTTGACGGTGGCTTGACCACCAAGGACACCATCCGTACCGACCTCCTTGGCGATCTTGGTGACTTCTTGTGCAAACTGCCGTAGTTGGTCAACCATTGAATTGATGATATTCTTCAACTCTGCGATCTCTCCCTTGCAGTTCGCCTGAACCTTCTGCGTCAAGTCACCCTTCGCCACAGCCTTGGTAACCGTGGCGATATCACGCACTTGCGTCGTAAGATTGTTCGCCATGGCGTTGACATTCACCGTGAGTTCGTTCCACATGCCTTGCACCCCCTCAATTTGGGCCTGTCCACCAAGCACACCTTCCGTACCGACATCACGCGCGACGCGGGTGACTTCCGTTGCAAATGTTCTTAGTTGGTCAACCATGGTGTTGATAGTCTGTTGCAGTTCCAAGATTTCACCCTGGGCCCGACTTTCAATCTTCTGGCTCAGGTCACCGTGGGCGACCGCTGTCGTGACTGCAGCGATTTCACGGACCTGATCGGTGAGATTCTTGGCCATTATGTTGACGTTCTCCGTCAACTCCTTCCAGATACCATGCACCCCAGTGATCTGAGCCTGACCACCGAGTATGCCCTCTGTTCCGACCTCTCGTGCGACTCGCGACACCTCGCTACCGAAGACTTGTAGTTGGTCCATCATGGTGTTGATCGTACGCTTGAAAGTGGCGATTTCGGGGTCCATCTCCAACGGGTGGATCTGCACCTTCATGGACAGATCACCGTTTGCGACCTGGGTAATGATGCCGCCGATTTCCCGTAGTGCCTTTTGGAACGCTTCGTTGGCCTGCTGGTGCTTGCGTAGCTCCCGCTCCAGCAAGACCACATCTTCGTTTTCGACCTTGGTCAAAGCCCGTCGTGTTTGCTCCTCCTGTTGTTGTAATTCGTCACGGACCTGAGCAATGATATCCTTCTGGAAACTTATTTCCTCCGCTTGTTTTTGGACATGATTCCGTAGGTAGCTGATGTCCTCCTCGCGTACCAAACGTGTCCTTGAATTCAGTTCCTCATCTTCATCACTCTCCTCATCGTCGATGTCTTCCTCCACTTCGTGGTCTTCCGGTTCGATGGCCGATCGTCTGGATCCATGGGGGTGTTGTTGTTGTTGTGTTGTCTTTTGATGCTGTGAGAGGCAAGAGTCAGAACCGTCACGGGACGAAACACGAGAGAGACCAAAGGACCAGAGGAAATCAGCGTCCTTCTCGCCGGGAGTGAGAGAAGACTGGGAGGATTTGGGGGTTGACTGGTTGTGACTGACATTTTGGAATTCCAGGTGACGGACTCGTCGGACCAAAGCTTCCAACTCCTGTTCAAAAGCCGCCTTTGCTGAACTCGTTTCCCCGGGTAATTTTGCGAGTTTTGTGTCGTAGCCATTGGCGGGAGGATGGGAGAATTCGAAGTCGAAGGGAGGAGCGCTGGAGGAAGGAGTTTCTTTCGCAAGACCTCTCAAAATGGCAGCAGCGGCCGCGAGCGTTTCGTCCGCGCCAGCCATTGTGCCCTAGGACGTCTCAGTTAAAAACGGACATAAGTACATATGCAGGTCGTGAAGAAATTTCTGTTCGATCCCCGATGCGTCTAAGAGTTGCCACCCCGAATGTGAGAAATATTCAAGGTGATAAGAGGTAAGGGAAAAGATGATGGCAATTCAAAAAAAGGAATATCGGATTTAGGAAGCGCGTAGGATCAGGGACATAAGACGGAGATGGGAGGGGAGGGGAGACAGGAGGAAGGGCGAAAGTTTATCGAGAGGTGACGGGAGTCGACTCCGAAAATATTGGGATTTGGAGACACCTCAAAAGAGGGGGGGGGGAATGAAAGGGAAGAGAAAAAGGTGAACCCCAAGGAAAAATCCAAGAGATTTTTGGAAAGATCCAAATGAGAAAATAAAATTATCGAGAATCGGAGCCAAAAGAAAAAAGGGCGCAGAAGGGGAATGAGGGGAAAGCAATCAATGGAAGATAAATGGGAATGAGAAAAGGAAGAAGAGGGAAAAAAATGTAGATGGTGTGCAATGATTGGATGGAGGATAGAGAGAAAGAAAGAAAGTGAATTAAAAAAAAAAAAAAGAAAAAGAAAAAGAAAAAGAAAAAGAGAGAGAGGCTCGGGAAGAGTCGAACGCTGAGCGGGGAGCGAGGGAAGAAAGAGGAGGGAAAAGGACCGCAGGGGAGGAAGAAGGGCAAGGCGATGAAAATCGAAATGGACGGATGGGAATGGGGGGGAGAGAGGAGAGGAGAGGAGAGTAGGGAGGGAAAACGGAAGTAAAGTGGGAAAGCACAAGAATGGTAGTCAACGGCAGGTTGTGATTTAGCTTACCTGACGGGAAGCCGTGTTACTGACACACGAATGATCGGGCGACACTGCTAGGACGACATGGGGTGTCTTGTGGAGAGGGCGAGAGGTCGACGAGGTTCAAGATCGGTGGGTTTGTGGTGGCCAAGGGGGGGGGGGGGGGGGGGGGGGGGGGGGGGGGGGGGGGGGGGGGGGGGGGGGGGGGGGGGGGGGGGGGGGGGGGGGGGGGAGTAGTTGTGGTTGTTGGTGGTCGGGAAAGGCTTTGGGAACAGGACCAAGAAACTCAGACGGACAGATAAGATTCAAGCGGACGGGGACAGTTGCAGACAAAGAAGCAAGAGAGCGTGAGCAGCTGAAAGGTCGGGCGGGGAGGAGAGAGAGAATGAGAGAGTGAGAGAGAAGGGGAGTTGATGGGCACACGAAAGAGACACCGAAAGGGGGCAAAGTTCGGGTTGGACTGGAGCGGAGGGAGGGATTCGATCAGTCAGCGAGAAGGCGAAGGGAGGGCGTGAGTGTGAAAAAGAGTGAGAGTGAGAGTGAGTGAGAGGAAGATGAGAAAGTGAGGAAAGGGAAAATGAAGAAGCAAGCAGGATTTGGTTGTTTGTGTCGATGCTTCTTCTCTCTCTGCTGCTGAGGAAGAAGGGGGGGGAGAGGGAGAAAGAGAGGTGGGAAAAGAGGCGAAAAGCCAGGAAAGTCTAAACTGCAGCAAATAATAACAACCAGGGTAATAGAGCAAAAAAAAATAATAAAATAATAATAATAATAATGGGTGTTAAGGATAAGGGAGGATAATTATGTTCGCATGAAGCACAAAACGAACTTCCAGTGGACGGGAGGAGATGGGAAAGAGAGCACAGCAGCAGCAACGAGATGGGGGGAGGAGAGGGGTTGGACTGATTTGATGGGATGGGATGAAATGGATGGATGGATGGATGGAGAATAGGGAATAGGATTGAATGAATGGTCGGATAGGTTTGGTTTGGCTTCGCTTTGGTTTGGGTCTGGTTTTGTTGGTTAAAGTCAAGAGTCGGTTTGTGGCCTTCTGGCTGGCTGCTGGTCGCTACTTGGAGAGCTGGTAGCTGCTACTTACACTTCAAGGTACACTAGTTAAACCTCTGCTATCGGTGGCTCTCTCTTCCCTTTTCCTGCCTTTCCTTTGGGTCTTTTTTTCGATTTTACTCTTATTTTTAAAACCTTTTGGGCCATTCAGTAGTTCTTATTTCCCACTGTCGCTAATTCTTGTCTTCCCACCCCCAGCAATTAGATTTCAAATTGATATACTCTTTTGACTTCCGATTGATTTCTTTTACAGAAGTAGTAGTAAGAATTGTTGGCTTTTATTCAATACGTTTAATAAGAAAAAAGAAATAGTAATGATTATATATATAAAAGGTACTAGTCAAAAAGAAAATAACAACATATAATAAAATTAAATAACCCACACAAGAGGAAGAATCATCGCCCTAAGGCGGCGACTCCCAAGCAGAAGCCGATGGCGAATCGCTCAGTCGGGAAAGTATCTACTTTACTTAAGTGACTGGCCTGGTAAAGCTGGCAGCAAATCCAGCCCAGTACTAGATAGATACCTGAGGAACCTTTTTCAGAAACATCATTATTGAACACAACCGGAACTTTGCCTGCTTGGGTAAATACATGGTTCCTAACGAACTAAACTCATAGGTAGACACACCATACTAGATCTTAACCCGGTCAGGCAGGCACCAGGGACCACTAGTTGGGTAGAGTTTAGCGGCCTTCTCAGCGAGGCGTGCCTGGGTTCCCCTCCGAAACCGTCCCTCGGTGCCGTCTATTCCGCCACGTCCTGTCTTGTCTGTCTTTCTGTCTGTCCGTTTTGTCTGCCGCGTTTGATGTGTGGTGTTTATTTCCCCGCAGAATTCCTACTGTATGTATACGGCAAGTTAAGTCAGGAAAAGAAAAGAAAAATATTAAGGATCTATCTGGTCGGTGATCGATGATCGGCTCTATCTATCTTTTCCTCTATCTGTCACGGAATTCCAGATTCTTGCTTACTTTTTTTTTTCTTTCTTTTTGTTTGTTTTCCTTCCTGCATTATTCGCCTGTGTGTGCGTGCGACCTTGGGTCTCATCTCTCTTTTTCTCACTACAGAAGCGCTAGCAGGTACGCACCGAGATATGATAGGACTCTTTGGATCCGGTCTCGAAATTCAACAGGCGCTTGTTCGAGGTGGATATTTTGGCTACGGTTTTTTTTCTTGTTCTTTGCTTTTTTATTAACCTGTCGAACTGCCACTATCACCAAGAAAGGAAATCACTAAAGTGACTACCATGTCTCAAGAGAATAATTATAGCAAGTGGTCCCTTGGGTGTCTCACCTCAATATCCTGTGTGCCCTGGGTGTGTGTGTGTGCGCCTTTGAAACGTGGGTGCGTGGGCATAAGAAACCTCCGGGAAAGAAACCGTCGACTCTGTGTTCTACCTCCACAAATTCCACAACCCTCTGCAGGCTTGGTGCCTTGTGACGCACGGGCATCCCTGCTTTTGGCTCGAAGTAGTCAGGCAGGTACGGCTGTACTTTTGCTGCGCTTTTCTCTTCATCAAAGGTCCAAAAGTCGGGGCAATCAACGCTAGTCGATAGTTCTTGAATGGGAAGATAAAAGAAATTTAGCTCCGCCAGAAAAGCAAAGCCACACTCATACACAACCTTGCTGAAAGTTATCGAAAGAGACAGCCCAAATACGCCAATTTTACGGTCAGTCTGCCATATGCGCGTGTTGATGGTTGACCTCTTCGCTATGCTCCATACTCAGCGTGTCATGATTGGAACGCAGCTGATCGGCTCCAAGACTAGTGGCGATCGATTTTCCGTGGCTCCAGCAAGTTAGCTGGCTTGAGTCGGCCCCGGTTAAGATTACCTATCACACGCCCGACAATTTCATGGCTGCTGGATTTGGGAAGGGGAAAAGCCCGCGGGAGAGCCATGACAGGCTGACAGGGCGAGCAAAAATTCCACACTCCCCCCCTGGTCTGAACACTACTGAACAAGGAGGTGCAGGAACAGGAAACAAACCTGCCGCTTTCCATACCACGGGAAGTGGTCCATCAATCTCGTTAACCGTTGATCGGGGATGATCAGGGAGTAGATCAACCAACCCAAGTCTATTCAGGAACAACGAGGGCACACGGTATAGGCAAGTTAATAGTGGTACTCCGTATTCCGTCCTACTGTCTAACCGGATAGTCGACCTTGCGTGAAGATCCTTTGTGGATTTGGGTTTTAACTACCGAGCTGCTGCCTATTTGACTGCATGAATCAGCCCTCGCGTTCATCGGATAAGTTCAGTCTGGAAAATTCCCGGGTCGCCGGATACCTTACGGATCCCCTAAAATGCTAGTATGCTAAGTAGCAAGGTCCCAAGACCAAGGTTCATCGGTCAACTCTGAATTTTAGATTTCCCATCCGGGTTTGAGACCAGAGTCGGGCTTTCGCTCCGAACCGGAGGCGTCGGTCCTCAGCGTCATGGTGGGGGGGTAAAAGAGGAGAGAGAAGGGTGAAAGCGAAGAAAGAGAGGTCCAAGTATGGGAGAATACACATTGTGGCGGGCAGTGCCAGGGAGATTCCAAGAAGAATGGCCCGAGAATGAAAGGGTGAGGTAATCTTCATACGGGGAATGTGTATCGACAAGATCCCCGAGGCGTCGACGGCGCCCAGTCCAGACCCAACGGTCGCGTGCGAGACCCATCTGTTCCACGGAATGGCCAATCAGACCCAGCAAAATTTAGAGGGCCTTCTTTAGCCCCACGAGCTAGGCCCGTCTGGGACTTTCATGCGAGGTTCAAGGTTGTTACTGTAAGGATCCCCGATACATACATACAGATAACCTGTATGTATGTATCGTCATTTCTACTCATCGAGTGGCTGCTGCTGTTCTTGTCCAGCAGCATCATGCGAGATGTATCAGACCTTGATCCATCATGGGGGTTGCTAGCAGTTCCTTCACCAGGTGACTGGGGTGGGTTGCGGCCTATCATGCTTACATAGTACTTAGTACATACATCCTTGAGAGTTTGGTCTACCTATTGGCGGTCTCGGGCCACGTCTGGACCATCAAAGTACCAAATCGCTGAAGCTTGCTCTGAGGAATGACTTCATGGAAAAACCGACTGTTCGAGATCCCGCTCAGAAACCGTTTTCATTCCAAAGCAAGATTTCACAGAAACGCGGGCCGGTCATGACCAGGTGACATCGGTGTGCTGCTGAATGAGTACGTGGAATAGTCGTGGCCACCAATTACTTGCAATCAAATGGGCGACTAACTCGCCTTAAGCCTCGCCTAACTGTTAGGTGAGCTAAAATGGTCAAGGCTATCGGACTAAAAAGGCGTGGTATCTAACCCATCTGCCAACAACCACGACCGATGGCAACGAAGCTGCATGGATTAGACAAACCTTCGTTCAGGTCACCCAGCTACGGAGTCCCCGGATTATGGTCGGAGCCGTTGCGCTTGGGGACTCGCGGGAGACGAAAAAGGTCACTAGCGCTGATGCAATTTCCGTCAGCCAGGTAGATATCTCTAAACCTTGCTCTTGCTCGTGTTTCATGGTGAGTTATAGTCGATGCGGAGTACACTCCTCCATCCTGGATATTGTGGCTGCATGAGATAGCCTCCAAACTTGCTGCTTTCTCAAATTGTGGCAGGCTGCAGCTCGTCGAACAGCAGAGGCATAGCCACTATACAACTACTTGGGCAGGGTGCACGTATGAAACCATCCGTAATCATTGGCATGGTTGGGAGTAATAATCCAGAGTAAGTAAATGCATTGCTCGCCCTAATATCCAGCGTGAGTATCGTAGCAGATGAATAAGCCGCTGGTAAGTAGTACTAGTATATATTCTTCAGGTTTCGGCCTTTGATCTGAGATAGTACCACTACCAGCGGTATCAGGAAGTCCTCCCGTGCTATATTTACATTGCACGGACTGCTGCATTTTCCTGTTTCTGTCACGCACTTCTTACTATTATTCCCCCTCCTCTCAATGCACATCGGGAGGCAACCGAGTGTTACTAGCGACACTACCACATCAGTGGTTGCAGTTGATCTGATCGCTTGATCTTCAAGCACGATCATGCGAACATCTTTTGCTCAGCTGCAGAACCGGTCCCCGGGGTGTGTGTGGCCAGGAATTAAGCAGCAAAGACCATGAGGTATTGCATTGGCACAATAGACATATACTGGTGACTCCTCATTTTGAGATCATCCAGGATACATACACAGCTGCATGCATACATACTGCGGAGGAATCGATCTGAAGAGTCACGACACATGTCGATATTTAGTCTTTTAGTTTATACTCCAACTAAAACTATCAGTAAGAGAAAAGGAGCCAAACGGATGGCGGGGTAAAAATCACCGGCCGGTCACGGGACGGCATAGCTGGTCTTTGGCGCCGGCCGTAATCGACGAGGTGCCCGAAAGAGTCACAATTTCGGAAAGTGGGCAAGTATCTGATTGAAGTCCCCAATCGCACAGTCGGTCTTCTCAGCACCCTTTCACGCCCCTTTGATCCGTGCCTCGGGGTTCACGACTCGCAATCATGGCGACCGATATGACGAGCCCCATCCTGGACGCCCTGTCCGCGTCCGACGCCTCCATCCTCTCCAGCGAAGCCTTCCCCTCCACCCCCTCACTAAATGTCAAGGCCGCCCTCGACCGTCTAGCCTCCCGACAGATGGTCGAGTATGAGACCTTCGACAAAGAGGTTGCTGCCTTGACCCCCGAAGGTGAAGAAATCGCCACGAATGGCAGTCACGAAGCCAAGGTGTTCCAGGCCGTGTTGGCTGCTATGGACGGATTGAAGATCGGCGACTTGCCCGGAGTCGTTGGAAAGGACAACGCCAAGATCGGTCAGGGCAATGCTTTCAAGAAGGGCTGGATCAAGAAGGACAAGGATCTTCTGCGGGCGACGACCGACACCATCGTGGACGAGACCCGCGAGTTGTTGCTGACGGTCAAGAACACTCAGACTTTGAATGACCAGAAGGCCCTCACAGATTTGAAGCGGCGCAAGCTGGTCGCCCTGCAGAAGGTCATTTCCTTCAAGATCTCCAAGGGCCCCAAGTTCGCGCGCGAATTCGTCAAGGAGGAGACCGACCTGACCGCGGAGATGCTCATGAACGGCTCCTGGAAGACGGCCCAGCTGAAGCCCTACAACTTCAAGGCTAAGGGTGCCCCCACGCCCGCTGGTGCTTTCCACCCCCTGAACAAGGTGCGCCAGGAATTCCGCAACATCTTCTTTGAGATGGGTTTCGAGGAGATGCCTACCAACCGTTTCGTCGAGACGGGCTTCTGGAACTTCGACGCCCTCTTCGTCCCCCAGCAACACCCCGCCCGTGACCTTCAAGATACCTTCTACATCGCCGATCCGGTTAAGGCCGACCCGCCTCGCGAGGACCCCGAGAACGACCCTCACCGTCCCAAGTCCGTCCATCCGGCCTCGAACGCCACCCAGGAGAAGCCCCTCGACTACAAGCAGTACTGGGAGGACGTCCGCCAGGTGCACGAGAATGGCAAGTACGGATCCATTGGTTACCGCTACCCCTGGGATGCCGACGAGGCGCTGCGGCTGGTTCTCCGCACACACACCACCTCGGTTTCGACATATGTTCTGCACAAGCTGGCGGCCAACCCCCGTCCGGCGAGATACTTCAGTATCGACCGGGTGTTCCGTAACGAGGCTGTCGATGCCACCCACTTGGCCGAATTCCACCAGATTGAGGGTGTCATTGCCGACTTTGGTCTCACCCTTGGTGGTCTGATTGGCTTCATGGAGGTCTTCTTCGCCAAGATGGGCATCCACCAGCTCCGCTTCAAGCCGGCCTACAACCCCTACACCGAGCCCAGTATGGAGATTTTCGGTTACCACGCTGGCCTTGGTAAGTGGGTGGAGATCGGAAACAGCGGTATGTTCCGTCCGGAGATGTTAGAGCCCATGGGTATCCCCAAGGGTATGCAGGTCTACGGATGGGGATTGAGTCTGGAAAGACCTACCATGATCAAGTAAGTGTAAACCCCGTCATGAACGACAATGACCTAGGTTATTAATAATGTAACAGATACGGCGTCAGCAACATCCGAGAACTCCTGGGCCATAAGGTCGATCTCGGCTTCATCGAGTCCAACCCTGCCGTCAGACTTGAGAAGGACTAGATTTAGAAGGCTAGAAATGGAAAACTTGGGCAGAAACTTTTTTTATTTCATGTTGTTGAGACTACCTAATGATATCATGACTCCCACATAGATCTACGTGATATAAACCGAACACTTCCAAAAAAAAATGAGAAGAACTACGAAACGAAGGAACATGGTTACGAGTAGAATGAAAAGCATTCAATTTGAAAAAAGAACTTCATATTCTTTCCACTAATATAGAATATTCAAGTAAAGGATATGGATATGTATGTCCCACCCGTATCTGTGCCCCGATGCACGTCTCAGCAAAGTGGCTCTTCAGTAGGCGGTAGCGTAATATTCGGCGGTGGATGTGCGTTTACTTTTCTACCTCCTGACTCATGGAAGGTCCCTGACCCTGAAGAAAAAAAGGAAGAGGAATCCAGATGACGGTTTCCTTCCTCTCTTCTTCTCCGAGGTTTAGGGGGAGTGAGGAAGCCTTGATGTGCCGATTGTGGAAATGATATCTAAGTATGCTTGCTACAGTATTCCGTACCAGACGAAAGATAAAAAAAGAAAAAGGGCACCCCGGACGAGAGAGATGAAGAGGGCATGTAGAGGGGGATATGCTCCACCCTACACAAGAGAGATAAAAATGAAAGCAGGATGGAAATTGAATTGTTGATAGAAAAGTTAAATTGGAAAAGTTTTTTCATTTCATTGTGTGAAAGGATTCCCTTTTTGTGGAGATATAGTTAAATATCTTCATCCTGTGCCACCACAATCATTAGCATTGCGCTCTTTTTATAATCATCATATATGCCATGTAAAGACATGGGTAAAATTGGCGTAAAACGTACCATCATCAATAACCACCCACTTCCAAATTCATCCCAACACCGCACGTCTCTCTCAAAAAGGAAAAGTGCTTAGCGCTGGCGGGCAGCGGTCCAGACGTTGCGGACGTAGCCGTCACGCTGGGCAAGGCGGTTCAGGGAGTCATCGCTCTCACCACGGGCACGGATGAAGCCGCACAGAGCGTAGGTGTGGTTCTCACCGGTGTAGCGGCCGTTCTCGTCAACCTTGGCGATGGAGATCTGGACGGAGGCGTGGTCGTTGGCCTTGATGATGCGGTTGGTGGCGCTGCACTTGCGGGGGACGTAGCTGTTAAATATAATATTAGCATCTGCCTTGGCTTGTCCTTTTGGCGATTGCGCATGTGTTGAGACGTTGGATGATGATGATGATAGAGATATGCGATGCGATCGGTGTTCGGTATTCCTCCTCTTTCCTTCTCCTGTCCTTTCTCCGTATATTTCTTCAATTCCGTCTCTTCCATATCGTAGATCCAGATTTAAAAACCATGTCCTCGTCGATTCGACAATAACGTTCCCCGCCATAGCACATATCCGCGATATATCTCCCAGGCCATATCATATCATCGTATATCGAGCACCGAATCGCATCCATATCTCCATCTCACACCACACACAAACTCAACATTATTTGGTTTTGGAAGGAATGGATACATACAGATCGACGATCTCTCCCTTCTCGTTCTCCATTTTGACGGTTGTTTGGGGGGGTGGTTGAGGTTGACGACGGTGAGAGGTTTTGCGCTGGCGGGTTAAACTGGCGGCGGACGGTGCGTGTGAAATTCCACTTGAATCTTTCTGGCGAACGCGGGTTGTGGGTCATGTGATTGTTTGTCGAGGGCTGATGACTAAGGTTTGCCTGGGTGGGTTTGCTTGACTGGATTGGGTGGGCGGTGAGTGATACCAACTTTGCAGGGAGGGACTGGTGAGGCGGTGTAGGTACTCTTAGTAACTTGGGATGTGGCTGGTGAGGTAGTGGGCGTATCTCCGTATTTTGTATAGACGAGAGAGGGAGTATGATGGATGGTTTAGTCGGACGATGAGACTTAGTTGGGCTGTTCCCTGTCTCGTTCTTTTACATAGTCAGTACCTTCATAGATCAGTAAATTCCATCAGAGTGTTGATGATATCCGATGGACTTCATTTACCGTGATAACTTGATTGGTATAAACTGGCATCTAGATGCTGTATATTCACTATTCTGTAAGCCAACTACTGACAAATACACCCATATACTGCTATAGGCGGCTCTCCTTAAACACATCCTTCTTCCACCGCACCACAAGCTCCCGAGGAACACCCTTGATGAACTTTAGCTGTACAACCCGCTCCGTATCTCCCTTCCGGTCAGTACCCTCCAATTCCGGACCAGGATGATCCAACTTCATCACCGTCTGGCCGTCAGACGCAATCTGCAGCGCCTTCGGACAGATACACTTGTTCGTCCACGGCGGCTGGCCCGAATGAATGAACTGCAACAATTCCTCTCGCTGCCTCTTCAACTCCTCAACAGACTCCATCCCCGATGATCCCTGTCCCAGGAAATCCGCCATCAAATGAAGCAGCAAGAACTGAGGCGGAAACAAAATGGCCTCACCCTTCTGCGCCATGCGAATCCATTCCGAGGCAGGCAAGAACCTGGCCTCAGAGATCTCCACTCCGCCATCACTCGTCGGAATCTGAATCTCCTCTTTCTCACCCTCATGTGGGATCTCATCCAGAATGGGCTTCTCAATCTCCATCGGCAAGGGTAAGAAGTACAGGTACATCTGGGTCGTATACCGTCTCGGATATCTGATGGGCGTGAGCCAGCGTGTGAATGCTATCAGTCCTTCCGTATCTGGTACTGCGGCGGGATGCTGTTCCTTTAACCATTCTGCGAATGTCATCTTATGTTGGTGGATCGCGCGTCGACCAGCTTCACGCTGCTCCTGTGGTACAGCGAGCATCTTGCCCGAGTCAGCGTCCTTGGCCAGGAGAATGCCACTTTCTTCGAACAATTCGCGAATAGCGGCGTTTCGATACCAGGGTCCGTCATCGTGGCGGGAGATGTCATCTACTGCTGGACATGGCCCGTCCTGGCTGGAGAGGTTTCCTCCTGGGAAGACATGTGCCGATGGGTAAGACGTTGATGTCTTGACCCGGTGAAGGAGAAGGACCTCGTTCCGCGGAGAGATGATGATTACGCTGGGAATAAGGTCAGCCCTGAGTTCTCTGATCCCAACGCGATACAAAATGTAGGAGTAGGGGGTTCAATATAGTAGGAATATAATGGACAATGAGACTGCCGGGCGAAGTTTGGCATATGACGAACCTGGAACTGGGCCGAGGCTCGGCAGGCGTAGACTTGGCCTTAGAAGTCTTTCGAGACGCCATGTTCAGGTCTGTAGATGTCTGCTGGGGCTTGGAAGCCGAAGAGCTACATCGCTGTAGAGGATGATTGAAGGGTTTGAATCGTCCCGGGGGTTGCGTAGGTCTATATGATGGGCCTGAAACTAAAAGCCGACTACCTCGGGCAACTTGCAGCCGGGGTAAGAATTCGCATGCTATCATCGTAGTTCATCCAAAGAAGCGCAGACATTAGTGTCAGCAGATCCTTGTGGTGATGAGATAGGTGAGGGATTGCAACGACAGAGAAAGATTATTGGAGCCCAGAGTAAACAGAATCCACAAGGGGCATAGCAGAAGCCGAGCTGCAGCGGTTCTGCGGCAAGGCTTACTACGACCCCGCGTTTTCGGCAACCGACCGCCTATCATTACTGACAATATCTACCACCGACGGATCTACAACACTGGACAGAAGTTTACTGACAGATATAATGGTATTGATACTGCCGTAGGAAGTCTAGGATCATGTATAGAATCATCGAAAAAGGCGTAATGCATTGAATAACCCTAACCAAGTCGGTGCGTCACCGCAAGTCGAACTCCTGTTCCCCATGCCCGAGCTTTTGTTTTCGTAACAGCCACATATCATCATGTAACAAAACGTATCAACAGAAAGGCTCTTGATATAAAAAAAACTATAAGGAAATAAACAAGAAACTTTAGCTCTTAAGCTTTTACCACTTAAGAGTAGAGCTTCTTGTCGTAGCTGTGGAGACCGTGAACGTTACCCTCGGCCATGGCGCTGGCACTTCTCATCTCGAAGCGGACAGTTCCGTTGTCCACACCCTCGTGCAGAGCCTTAAGGCTCTTGACACCAATGTCCTGCAGGGAGTGCTGGACACCAGCAACGAGGTAGGGGACGAACTTGGTGACAGAACCACGGTCGAGAACGGAGCCAGCAACACCCTGAGCAACCAGGACGCCGTCCTTCTCAGAGAAGTAACGAGCAGTACCAGCGTTGCTGGCCTTGCTGTCCTTGGAACCAGCGCCAGCCTTCTTGTCCTCCATGGCGGCGATACTGCCCATACCACGGTAGGCCTTGACGAGCTGACCCTCCTTGCTCATGAAGTACTCGCCAGGAGACTCGGTGGTACCGGCAAGGAGACCTCCCATCATGACAGTGGAGGCACCCATAGCCAGACCCTTGACGATGTGACCAACGTTCTGGACACCACCGTCAGCAATGCAAGGAACACCGAAGCGAGCAGCGAAAGCGGTGACGCTGCGAACAGCAATAGCCTGGGGACGGCCAACAGCCATAACCTCCTGGGTGATGCAAGCACTGCCGCTGCCCATGCCAATTCTCAGGCCATCGACACCAGCAGCAATCAAAGCTGCGGCTTGCTCACGAGTGACAACGTTACCACCGATAACGTCGATCTCGGGGAAGTTCTGCTTGATCCACTTGATCATCTCAATCTGGTACATGCTGTTACCCTGGCTGCTGTCCAGGATAACAATGTCGAGACCAGCGTCAACAAGGAGCTTGAGTCTGGTCTTGTCCTGCTCACGGGTACCAATGGCAGCAGCGGCGATGAGCTGCTTGGACTGGGGGAGCTTGGAGGCGAGGGGGTAGTGGAGGTTCTTCATCAAGTCGCTGCTGGACAGCAGGGAGACAAGGTTGCCGTTCTCATCAACGATGGGGAGCTTGCCCTTCTTCGAGGAACGGAGAACCTCGTTAGCCTCGGCCAGGGTGGTGCCAGCGGGGGCAGTGACGAGGTCAGTGGACATGATGGCGGTGACGGAGTCATCAAGGTCGTGGTGGAACTGGATGTCACGGGAAGTGACAATACCAACAAGCTTGGAGCGGAGGGTTCCGTTCTCTGTTCAAACAAATACAGTTAGAATCAAGTCTGACTCGAACCAGGAAGAGTGAACATGTCATGATAGTAACACAAGGGTCAGATAAAATCTGTTTCTCTACAGTGCTGCTCTCGCTGCTCCAGTGGAACGAAAGTTATAATAGAAAAGAGGATGATCATCACTGTGAATGGGAAGAACTGAAAAGAAAAGTCATGTCAAAACTTACCAGTAACAGGGAAACCACCGAAGCCCCACTTGGCCTTCAGTTCCTTGGCCTCGCGGACAGTGGCCTTGGGAGAAAGGACAACGGGATCAGAGATGAAACCGTTCTCGTATCTCTTGACCTTGCGGACCATCTCGGCCTGCTCCTCAGGAGCGCAGTTGTGGTGGATAACACCCAGACCACCCAGCAGAGCCATGTGGATGGCCATGTTGTGCTCGGTAACGGTATCCATGGGAGAGGACAGAAGGGGAACCTTCAGAGAGACACGCTTGGTGACGGGAGTGTCCAGAGTGACATCGGAGGCAGGGAAGCCTGTGATGGGGCGTATAAGCAACCGAGCACGAACAAGAATCACCAGCAACTCAAGGTGTTCGTCTTACCGATGTATCCGGGCAAGATAAGGAAGTCGTTGTAGGTCAACGCTCCGTGCTTGTCCGAGTCAAGCAGGGTGTCAACGTCCAGACCATCCTGGGTAGTGTAGGTTTTCAGGACCTCCAGGGCCTTGGTGTGGTCCTGGATCTCGGCCTGCATGGCACGGCCAAGAGAGTCACCGTTGGAGATAGGCATGGTGAAGACTCTACCGGTTCTATCGTAACTCGTCAAAAAGAATGATAAGAGTCAAGAACAAAAAATAATCAACAGATCGACGATAGAAACGTTCTGTTGATGGAGAAAGTCTTCCTTTCCCAAAGAAAAGAAAGAAAGAAAAAGGAAGAAAAATCGGAGGAGAAAAAAATTGGCTTTTGGCTTCTGCCGCACACGCTAGCGATCCCTGCAGAATTCATGCCGCAACGGGTATGGTTCGCCTTGCCGCTGCCTGTTTGGCCTTGTGATTGGCTGCTAAACGAAATCAGGCCAGGCGGTGAGCGAGGAGGGGGTGACATTGAAGGAACCAAATTATTCTTTCCTGACTGATGGTTAATAATAGTACGTAGTCCCTCTGAAAATTTTTGCAGTCCCGCTTATCAATTCCTAAGGAACAGTCGCGGGGTTCGGGGTTAAACTTCCCATGGAGTAATGCCCAATCGCTGCTTGCGGCAATTGCAATGACATAGTAGTACTTAGTACTGCTACTGACTGGTCATGAGAGGGGTTGCCTTTCACGGTCTTTTCCACATGAAGTTTTCTTCTCTATAAATTCCGTATTTCCTGTACCTTTGACTTCGCGCATACGCCAAGATGGGGTTAGTGGCTATTAGCCTCTCTGATAAGATAACTAAGGTGCCTTGTCTTGGATGCATGCAACGATACAACGAGCTTGCTGGAATGTCGTGAAATCTAATTGGATCGTTGCATTGATGACCCCTTCTGATTCAGATACACTGCGATTCTCAGCATATAGTACCCATCATTGGTCTGCTTAAGTTGGTCCAAGTGGTACTGCATACACCGTATACTACCTAGACTAACTAAATCCTCTCCCCGCACTGTAGTCCAAGCATCCAAGATCTTTATATGATCCACAAGCCAGACGCACTGGCCAAGACACGTTGGTGTGTGGTAAGTGTACTTAAGGACAATGAGTTGGTATGCTGGGACCACCGACTCATCTGATCTATGATTCGTATCTTGTTTCTTGCTCCTTGTGAGAATCGTCCGCGGGCCGATGGAGCTTTAGAGACGGAAGACATATACTGTAAGCCAGACGATATCCAGTTCAAGAAGAAAGGACTAATTACAAATGTGTATAACAAGGCTTTCCAAACAAGAGTGCTGCTTTCTGTTGCAGACGGTGTTACAGTCATGGCATTTCCCCACTTGGTGTTGAGGCTTGTTGATGGGCGCAGTATGGCTGATTCGTCTAACTTGAAGGGAAGGGTTACATGTACGGCTTCCCATGCGGCTGATCGGCTGATCAATTTTCGCTGAAATGTCTAATAATCACTCCCTTGGAATCGGTCATTTCTATTGACTAGGCTTCCTTATACTGTAATTTGAATGCATAGGCTTACATTCTACTCGGCGCTATCTAGTCAAGCATGGTGTCTGAACTGTAGCACTGACCCGGCCGGGCGGCGAGTATAAGCATGGAATAGAACTTGAAGATAGTGATAAGTAATACTGCAATACGCTAAATGAATTCAAAATCTTAGTTTGATCGACTTAGCATTTTCCCTAGTGCGCTATGATCAGGTCGAGAGGTGAATTGCGGAGATGTGGTTCGCGGACCTGGTTACGTAGTACGACTATGACGCCAGGGTGACAGAAGGCAAAGAAAGCTGTCCGACTTATATATAAAGCGCCAAAGCCATAAATTTCTCACTATTCAAGCAATATCTTCTCATAGTTTTCATATCGCACGGTTAATAGTCAGAATGGCATCCGCAATTGGCAAAGAAGGCGTCTTCCAGCCGCCACAGGCAGCTCAATCCCAGAATAAGCCAGGGTAATTTCCCTTTCACAACCTCTCTCTTCGTTACTTCAATTAGCTTCCTCTCTAGAAATCCTTCAAGAAGGTCAGCAGAGCTAAGATACAATTTCAGGTTAGAGAAGAAAATGGCACCAGCAAGTGAAGCAACCAAATTAGAGTCGAGCGGTACTTTCGTCGAGTATGTCGGTTCTGGAAAACTGAAGGACAAGAAGGCTCTCATCACTGGCGGCGAGTATGTCTCCTATCCTGTCATGGGATGTCAAACAATTCACATTCTCGTAGTTCCGGAATCGGCCGATCGGTCGCGGTCTTGATGGCTCGCGAAGGGGCCGACGTCACCATTGTCTACCTACCGGAAGAAGAAGAGGATGCTCAGGATACCAAGAAGATGGTTGAGGCCGAGGGCAAATCATGCCACCTCTTCAGCGGAGACTTGAGAAGTCGCGAAACGTGTCGCAAAGCTGTTGAAGAGCATATGAACACGTGCGTGCTCTTGTTATCACCAGTCTATCTACGAAGCTTCATCTCATACTAAGCTCAGGTATAAAAAACTAAATATTCTCATCAACAACGCCTCCAAGCAGTACATGTGCAAGGATTTCGCGCAAATCGATCTCGACAACGTTACCAGCACCTTCGAGAGCAATATCATTCAAATGTTCGCTATCACGAAATTTGCCCTTCCTCATCTGTCCAAGGGCGACTCGTCAGTTTCTCCATCTTCTAATGGAACAAGCTGCTTATGGCTAACTTTGTTTTCAGCATAATCAATACCACATCTACCGTGGCATTCCGAGGAACAAGCGGTATGGTTGACTATAGTGCTACTAAAGGTGCTATTGTTAGCTTTACAAGATCACTGGCAGCACAGCTGAAACCCAAGG